ATTGGTTTTGCTTTTGGAAGGGTTTATAAGTGTTATTGTTCAGATTAAATGTAACGTCTAGGAAGTTTACTATTTTTAGGTTGGAAGAAATCTTGATTTTAAACCCTAGAAATTTGAAAGCCTTAATTATTTCTTTTGTAGTTGGGATGTTAACAGACCATTGGTATCAGGTACAGCAACCAATCCGTCATCTCTGTATAGTCCTATATTTTGAGGGTCAAGGAATCTACTTAGGATATCTTTTTTTTTTTTTTAAGCATTTCACCCCAAGCAAGGCAGAAAGCCACTAGGATGCAAGGGGTTACAGAAAATTTGGAGCAAGATCAGATAGGAGTGATAGAAGAAAGGATGAGGAGAAGAGTAGTGGATAGATCAAGGCAACTGGAGATACAGAGGCCAGTGAGAGAGAGAGAGTACCGGAAACCCCTTCCTAAACAAGAAACAAGGCGTAAGCCTCTACTCATGTCCAAGAGAAGGGGGAGGAGTGTTGACCGGACGGTAGGAAAGCCTACCTACTCCTATTACATATAACACATACAACAACAACAAAAACAGAGGTAACGATGAGAGTGGAAGGTAATTTGCAAAGTGTCTTGGCTGACACTTACATTTACCCTTTCGCAACATTAAGTTAAGTTTTAACTTAGTATAAGTCCCATTGTCTATTCTAAAAAGAAATTGAAGAAAATAAGGTTATCCGAATTTAATGCCATGTCATAATAAATGCCCCAACATACGTGGCAGCGAGTGTGCCCCAACATACATGGTAGCGAGTGTTAGTCCGCTTTCTTCCTCATGATAACAAGTGAATGTACAGCTTACCTTAAGTCCAAGCGGCGACCTGGTGGGGGGGGGGGATCAACGGCCAATCCACCACCCTCACCAAATAGTGGGCTTGGGAGGCATGCTTTCAATAAAAAAATCTGGGGGTGGGGTGGTAGTGTGCAAAATTTTGACATGAGATGCAGACAAGTTATAAACCCATTTACATCCACACACAAAGCACACTGACAGACTACAGAGCAAAACCGCTTCTTTCTCTAAAATGTATGTACCTATTAGGTCAGCTATTTGAGCTGAATCAAATGATCCCATTGGGATATCGAAGTTGTCTCTGTCTTTTTTAATCCAAGTAGTGTTATTCAGTTTTAGTTTAGACTGTCTAAATTATGATTTTTATTTCTTCGTCAGTAATATCAGTGTGGATTTTGGCAAAATTTAAGCTATTTTCTAATAACTCTTTAGAAATTGAGGGGTAGAAATCGATAATATCCAATTGGATAAAAGTAATTTTATTTTTATGTTTTATTTTTTGGAACCAGTTAAGGGTGTCAGATGAATCTTTCCAAAGGTTTAATGGGTATTTTGTTAATATAGCTGTGTTTATTCTTTTTAGGATATTTTTCGAAATTATTCCTAACTCTGATTCGGAGGGATTTATTAGTCTGGACTGTAGATTATTCTGAAAGTTAGGTTTAAGGTCTTTAAACAGTAGGTAGGCATCTTTTAGATGAGTTGTACCCATTCTATCATCAATATTATATTTAAATGCTAATTTCACAGTTTCTTTGTGTATGGAGAATAAGTATTTAGAATTGTCTTTTTTATAAGAACCAGAGACTTTATTTTGAATCAGATGGTTGTATTCAGAGAGATTAATTTTGTAGATATTTTTATATTTATCAGCTCTGATCCATAGTTTTTTTTTTGAGTTTCTGATATATATATATATATATATATATATATATATATATATATATATATATATATATATATATATATGTATGTGTGTGTGTGTGTATATATATATATATATATATATATATATATATAGATGTTTTAAAGGCAAATATATAATGTTCATTATTTCCAAGCACAAATGAACATAGTAATTTTGTCTTTGGAAATAATGAACACTACATTTTAGTCTTAAAAACATACCCTGTGGATGACATTGTGTTAATGCCGAAAGTACTCAGAATAAAACAATATGTATCAACTTGGTAATGTCCTCTCTTCTTTTAATACCAGCACCAGAAATCTCATTTGAGAATATGTACAGTTCCTGTTGAAAATAATCAGACAAATCTTGTCTAAACTATTCAATGAAAATTGCCTCAATATATATATATATATATATATATATATATATATATATATATATATACGTGTGTGTGTTATATAGTCACACACACACATATATATTTGTGTGTATGTATACACACACACACACATTATATATATATATATATATATATATAACTATTTCTTTAATAAATTCTATTTTTGCTATCATAAAGTTACTTATCTAGTTGTTTAATACTAATACCTGATCTTATAAATTCCTAACTTGAAATTGAAATTACACAATGACAACTACTTTTTATTTAAAAATTTAGTAGTTAATATTTTTTAATACACTCTAAATTAAATTTGGTTGTATTTTTTTTGCTACTTTAGATTAAGAAGTTATTCATGTTTTTTGTATGGATTTATCATTTTGTTTTTAAAAACAAACTTTATTTTTATGCTTTCTTACAATTATATTACATGATCATTTGCTTTCTTCTCTATATATTTTGTTTGTTTTTTTTTTTTATATATCTGTATACATAAGTTAAAGTGGCAGAATGTGTGCATGTTGATTAGATATTAAATTTATTTCTGTGCATGTTGATTGGCTATTTACTTTATGTTTATGTCAATTTGCTTATAGGAACAACCAAAAAATTATATATGCTGGCACATTGTAGGCATTTCATTTTAAGCACTGACCAATCAACAAGTTATCCTTAACTTCTGGTTGGAGCCCAGTTTTTATGTCCAATCTCCTCTTTCACTTCAGGATTAAATTACTGGTGACATTTTCTGCAAAACATTTTTTAATAAGTGCATTCAGCAGTAGTACTTAGTTAATTTTGTACTACAATAAACTGAAAAGAGAAAAATAATCATGAACCCAAATCTATAAGTCCATTCTATATCCACTTAAAGCATAAGTGGTAAGGACCTTTTTTTTTCTCCTTTTTTATTTTTTGTTATGTTTTTCAGAATGAATGGCAACTAAACAGTTTTGGGGTTTGGGTATGAAGGTTACTTAATGAAATATTACAATAACAGGTGATGTTACATTTACAAAGTAGATAGTTAATTAAGTAGAAACATTTAAGTGTGAAAATCTTACATTGTTCTAAAGATATAAACAAATCAAATAAATTCACTTTCATACATTGATTTATTCAACTCCAATTTTCATCTTCATAGTTTTGTTCCAACTTTTTCAGTTCATACATCCACTAGATATTTTCAGAATCTAGGAATTTCAATCAAATCACTTTACTTGACCCTCAAAGATATTTCGTTTTCATTTGTCTACCTGTCACATGTAGGTAAATTATGTAATCTATATAACATATACAATGATGTGTATCTTGTGTTCTTATTTTGAAAAACAAATAAATCTTAACCTGAATTTAACAAACTTCAACAATTTTTGGTTATTTAGAAAAAAAGCAACCTTTTTTTTTTCTTTTACACAATTTATGTTTGTGTAATTAGGTTTATAGCTGTGTGTGTGTAAATTTCCATGTATATATATTTTCATGATACTAAAATTATGTATAAACCTGTCACTTAGTTTTAACCTTTACTCTCATTGGAATTTAATGTGAAGTTGAATCTTCACAAGAAATGGTGCATTGCAGGACACAATTTTCCTAATCCCATAAAGACATACAAGAGAAAAGTCTCTTGAATATCTGCCTTGCATACAAAGACATTTACCAAAATGAATGCAAATATGCAAATACTATCTCCTCAGATATAAATTTCAGAAAAGTTCCAAAATATTTTTTGCTAAATGAATTTATGCTATCCATTTATTTGAGCTGGGAATATATTGGCTATTCTGTATGCATGTAGGTATTTCTAATGTCCATCTTCACAAACAATATTATAATCATGAGAAATATGACTAAGAAAAAAACAAAAAAACAAATCGATTATTTCATGCATCTTAAGTGGATTGACAAGAATCAGTGTTGACCAGCAAAAGATGGAATTGGTTTTATTTAATTATGAAAAACAATTGATAACAAAATTAGTATAAGCAAACAATTTACTAGCAGTTAGAAAGTGTTAGACATTTAATTCAAATGTCTATATATTTATTACAAGTTTAATAAATTTAAGACATTGAAACATTTAAGTCTAAGAAAGAAAGTGTTTTTTTTAATTAAGTGGAAAGAAGAAGAAAAGAATGAAAATTCAGGTGAAGAAAATAAGAGAAATAATGAAAAAGAAGGAAAAATACAAAAGATAACAAACATGGAAAAAATTAAAATGTAAATGAAAAAGACTTTGGATAAGTATGAATAAGTAAGTAATGAAATAATGAAAAATATATATTTTTAAATGGAAAGAAAAAATTCTAAATTTTCGAAATTCATATTTTCTTTGCATATAATTTTATTTGCATGTAATTAATTGAATTGAAGGCTGGTAATTTGTATAATCTGGGATTTATTAGAGAACCAAAAAATTAAGCTCTAATTTCAAGCAGTCGAGAATATTTACTGGAAATTTATCTTTTATTTATTACCCTTAAAAACTATGTTTTAAAGAATTGCAAGAATTAGGTAAAAAAATCTTCATTAATTGTATTATTTCTATTATTTTTTCAGCATTTACACTGATATATATATATATATCTTTCAATAATGAATTAATATGAAATAATCTATTTGTTTGTTTTTTGTTTGTTACAGTCATATTTCTCATGATTATAATATTGTTTGTGAGGATGGACATTAGAAATACCTATCTGCATACAGAATAGCCAATATATTATCAGCTCAAATAAATGGATAGCGTAAATCTTTCAATAATCAATTAATAATTATTGAAAGATAAATACTGAAATACAAATAATATCTTACTATATAACATACAGGGCCATAGTAGTGTTTTGGGGGACCCCAAAAAATTTATAATTTACCCTTATGCTATCAAAGTCTGCCAACACGGTTAGCAACAAGAACATTTAAAATTTCCAGTACCTCCTTGCTTTGATAGTTTTTTTTTATTTCTTGTATTTTTTTTTTCTTTCTTGTATTTTGTTGAAATAAAACCCTGTAAAAAATACAATTGGTAAAAATTTGGAGGGGGATAAAAGCACCACAACCCCCACTCCGACTGCTATGGGCATGACATACCAAATGTATTTGTATATTATGTGTAACATTTAATGCTGCCAGTGCAAGGGAGATAACTATGAGTGTCTCCTTTGCACTCGCAACACCAGGTGGCAGTATTTTTGTTGAACAGAAACAAGAAAAATGCTAGGAAAGTTTTTGATATTTTATAATGAAAATTCGGCCGCAAAATTACCAAGATATTGCTATCATTTTTTGACAATATATGAAAAATGATTTATAATTTTCTTTATATTATTATCAGCATTATCATCAATATACATTAATAATATCAATAGTAACAATGGATTAATCTTATATTTTATGCATAACATTTTTGCTAGTATATGAACATGTAAAACTACCAAATTTTAACCTTATTTATATAAGGAGATGTTGACAAGTTCTTGACTGACCAAGCTCTTCCTCCCTACAAAATTCTAGTGTGTGGTCTTTGGTCATTTGTTCATATTTTGAGAAATGGGTCACCTAGTAGGAAATATAACTTGATAAATTTACTGAAACTAGAAAGGTACTGACAATCTTCTTTTTTAACTAAATTAGTGATACCATTTTTCCTTTGTTTCTCTTATTGCTAATCACATTATATCTTACAAAAAGTAAATCTTTTGCTCAGGTAATTGTTATTATTTTTTGCTTTCACACTAACCCCCCCCCCCCAGTCTTTAGAATACAAGTAGAGGTTTATCCCTTGTTTCCTATTTAGGATTGGGTTTCTGATTCCTTATAAAGTCTTCTTCTCTTTCACTTCCAGTAGCCTCTTGCATCTTAATGGCATTGTTGCCTTGCTTGGGGTGAATTGATTAAAAAAAAATGTACAAAGCCTGGTAACTAACCATTACTCTAGAGAGACACCTGCAAAAAACTATCAGCAAGTGGTGCTGCTGCTGCTGCTGGTATTATTATAGTTGTTGTTGTTGTTGTTTATTTATTTTGCAATTGGTACTGAAAAGTTCTCAACATGACCCACTCCAAAATAACCAAACATCAGAAGCAATTTGTGGATTTTTTTTCACTTTTCAGCACCTCCTTGTATGTGTGTGTATGTCTCTGTGTATATACATGCATGCATACATACATGCATAATAATGGCTGGTTATTCATTTCCAACCACACACATCTGCCAGAGTGGCTAGCCATGCCCTATTACAGATGACCCCTCAGCCCACAAAGCCCAACTGTGGTTTATACTGCAATTATGCTGAGCAGACCTTAGTTACAGTTTTTAGGAACAAGCACATAATTTAGCATGATCAATTTTTTTTAACAAAGCCAGTATGCTCAAACCCTCAGTCATGGTGATTTCTGACAACCATTGATGGCTTCTGAGAGGTTCTGTCTTCCCAATTTCATTCACAAGGCTTGGGTTAACCTGTGCTATGATTTTCAGGCACTTTCCAAAGGTGTTATTCCCAGGCTGATATAAAATCAAGAAGTCACCTCACTGATATATCAAACCTGGTTTGATTCAAATCCAGGTCTCATGACCAGAAAGTGAATTTTCTAACCACTCAGCTACACACCCACATACATACATATAATCTCAGTGAGATGACTTTAATGGAAAGGCCAGTACTAAAGGCTAAAATAAATATGAGATTCTGTTATATTTGCCAGTTATTGAGCTTCAGTGGAACACATCTGTCTTGGAGAAGTGAACTTTTCAAATTGGTTGATGGAAACTTACTATTTCATTTGTGCTTGTAAAATCCAGAATGAACAAGTTGCACAAATGATTGGTTGTAAAAGGGTGTGAGCTTTAGCCCTTTAGTTTAAGATTTTCTAAATTTTTCATGAAAAATAAATTATTTTATATATAAAATAACCTTAAGTAATGCTTGCATTATTTTCTGACTATAAATAATCCTCCATTTTATTTTTTCAGTGCCCTTCCAAAGTGAAACATTTATCAATACATGATACATATTCTATCAGGAATTCTTGCATTGATTTCTGATCACTATTTCTCCCTTCCTGATTTTTCAATATATTCCTATAGTAAATTAGCAATGCACTTACATTAAACATGTAATAACCCTATTCTTCCAGTAGTGATTGCAATAATTATTGACCACTAACGGTCACTTACTTCCTGATTTCCAATGCTTTTCTGAAGGAAAACAATACATTTATATTATAATAGGCTACTAATAAAGCTTGCATTAATTCCTAATCACCAGCAACTTTATTTCTCGTTTTCTATTTATTTCTATAGTAAAATAACTTTCTTGTATAGATATACCAAGTTAAGCAAGATGTAGAGAGATCAAGTTAAGCCAGATGTAGAGAGATCAAATTAAAAGTTCAACATTCCTTTTCATTAAAAAAATATCTTTGCTATGTCTCTTGAATTACATTCAACTGTCTTCATGTTTTATGTTCATAAACCCAATTAACATTTTACCTGAATGGGACAATTAATTAATTCAACAATATAACTCTTCTTTTTTTTTTTCATTAAACCAACAGAATACCTATATCAGGAGAGTGAACAATCAAGATAATTTTTCAAGTAAAATTAATTTATCATAACTCTGTTTCTGCAATAACACAGGAGTAAAATATCAAATCAAATTGCTTGAGGACTTGACATAGAGGGAATGATATTAGTGGATGCTCTTCTATTTTAGTCCTGTGTCAGACTAGACTGAGATTAATAAATATTCAAGCACCTACCATAGGGCAGTAGTTAGCAAAAAACTAGTTTTGCAGATAATTGCTAGTATAGAAAGACTTCAATCCTCACATGTCTGTATTGTGCTTGTTCTTAGTTAAATAAATATCTATATACAATTCATTTGACTTGGTTAACTCATATATAAATAACTCTTGATTCAACTATGCACTAAAATAATTACACTCAATCAGATATACACATTCATTTAACACCTACAAATTCAACCAGTAAAGTTGTGTGGGTGTGTGAATATACATACATGCGTACATGCACACACACATTTTTAGGGCAATGGATAAAAGTGTTAGTTGAATCCAGTGACTTGACCCAAAGAGTTGTGAGTTCAATACCTGGCTACTACTGAGGTAAACAAAAACTTGGAGAGTTAAATTAAAGGGAGATCACTGATACTGAGACATCTGGAAGAGGCATGGCACATGGAACTAGAACAATCTACCCTGATGGATGAAATAAAGGGCTCAGTTCAAAATTCAAATCACCTGAAGAAGACCAGAGTATACAAAGGCCGAAACATGAATATAAAAAAAGGATGAGGACAACAGTTCACACAATGTAAATAGTGTAAATAATTACAATCAGAAATATAGACAGATATTATCTACTTTTACTGGGAGAGAAGAAAAAAAATTAATTAGTGAATAAAATTTCTGAGACGTTAGAAATATAGGGTTGAAGTAGATTTTAGAAGGAACTGGAAACTTAATCCTAAACAGGAAATAGGGGTTAAACCTCTCCTCCTGATCAGACATACACACACGCATGTGAATAAAGACAAAAAGAAAACTGGAATTTTACACACACACATATAAATAGGTATCCAGTATATTTCTGGAGGATAACACTTTTTTTTAAGGCAAGCAGGCTTTGTAATTAGAGTGCACAATATTAAGAAATACAGTATTAATAGAAAGTCAAATTTAACTTTGAACATATATATGTGTGTGTGTGTATGTATATATATATGTGTGTGTGTGTGTGTGTGTGTGTGTGTGTATATGTGTGTGTGTGTGTGTGTGTGTGTGTGTGTGTGTGTGTGTGTGTGTACTCACACAAATAAATGCCATTTCAGAATTACTATAATTTATGGCATGTATCCTCTCTGTTCAGTGCTATCTGCCAATATATTATACATGGATATGTTTAGATATTATTACTCACAGGCAAAATCTAAGTATTGTTATGCATTTTTGTGTATACTTTCAGCTGTGTATTCTGATAGCAATCATATACATACATTAACATCTATTTATCCATATATATTTATGTGTATTGCATACACATTTAGGCAAGATTTACATTCCTTGGATCCTGGCATATGTTCTTTAAAACACAAACAAGAAAAGTTAACAAAAAATTGAAAAATAAAAATCCCCAATCTACAATCTTTAATCAAACTTATTTTTAGTGTTTGTTGGTAAAAATACATTTGTATTTTTATAATCATTTGTACAGTGCACATATATTATATTAAATGTTTCTAGTAAGATTTGGATTTGCATCATATTTCCACTAGAAATTACTATTTCATATAGAAACCTAGTAAAAGCAACATTGTTTATGTGTCCATTGTGTACACAGTATATGTTTCTCTTAGACTCTTTATACACATGTGCACGTTACTTTCATACAAATTATATATGAATGTTGTACATAGGTATCACATATCAAGATTTACTCAATGCAGTACATATGCACATGCATTTATGCAAATGCATAAAAAAAGTTGAAAGCTTGGATCATATTTCAATCATGCACTTTTCTTCCAAAATGAACTTCAGACAATTTCTGATGGAATTTCTTTGTGTGTGTGTGTGAGAAGGATTATTCGTAACTTGTAAAAGTTGATCATTAAAAATTAAAATGCAAGTCGTTTTTAAAGAACATTTGCTGCCTAAATACACAGAATATTGCTATATGTATACAAACTTGTATAAATACAAAAACTTTTGCGAATACAGTCACTGTGTATACATACTTCTTTTTTTTTTACTATCGTTATTAAAAAAATGCTTTCTTAAGCTTTCCTTTACAAGTTCCATAACCCCACCCCATCTAGTCTGTTGTTGCAATGAAAAGGTTATAAAGCATAGATAACAGACAGACAGACAGACTGACTGACTGACAAGCTGGTGAACAGAAGCAGCAGCAGGGAAAGGCAAATGTTTTGTGTAAGGTACTAAAAGCGGCATCAGTATCAGCAGCAGCAGCAGCAGCTATTCCGAACAGGAAGTTAGGCTATTCTACATTGCTAATTCTGTTTGATTTATCCATACAAGAAGGAAGTGAGAATGGGAGATAAGGTGGGGAAGGGCTGGAGTGGAGTGGAGTGTCCTTCTGGGTGGAGGATGAGAAGAGGTGAGTGCCCCGGTGGGGTGGTTTGGAGCATGTAAAATGAAAAACCGGGAAGGGGTGGAACTAGAGCAGAGGTTTTTTAAAGTATAGTTGGTGGGGGAGTGTTTCATAGCGTGTGTGTGTGTAAGCGGACACACTTTTATGAAATAGCCTGGGATTTTTTTAAAAATATGGGTTCAATGTGCGTGCTAATATAACTAATCTCCAATGTTTATGTATGAAGCAACTTTAGCAATTATGCTCCTTGCGTGCGTATGTTTGTGTATATGTTTTTAGTTTAACTCACTGTTTGTGTGACAGAAGTGTATCACTTTGTATAAGCATGCAGTTCTGTGTGCACGCGTGTGAATGTGACAATATAATTATGACCAAAGAGATTCGATCTTTGCGATAATTTTAAACTTTTTCAACCCATCTGCGTCTATAGACCCACGTGCGCGCGCGCGCGCACACACACACACACACACACACACACACACACACATGTTGCTAATTTATCAGTTAACTGTAGAGATGCACGCTTAAAGTTAAACTGATAGATATGTAGGTAGGTAGATAGTTATGCAAGTAGATAGGTTGGTATGTGGGTAATCATGCAACTACAGGAGTAGATAGTCTAGCAAATAGATAGGTAAACTAAACATGTTTGTAGGTAAGCAGCAGAAAGGCAAAGTTATGGATAAAACTCTCACTGGAGGTATGCCTCTTATGTATTTGTGGTGGTGGTGGTGGTGGTTTTGGTGATGATGATGACAACAATGATGATGATGATATCAGATTCTGTGCCTTTTTTTTTTTTAACTCCCACTTACAAAACCCTAAATATTTGTGAATGGTATAGAGAAACAAAAAAAAATATTGGGGAAAACCATACTCTGCTATTATGCAGTTTCTTGCAGCAATATATTATTAATAAAATAAAATACTTAGTTAAAAATATGGAAAAAACTAGATAATTGTGTATAAATTTCTCATTGAGAAAGAAATATAAGATTATTTATGAAATTCATATTATTCTGCCTATTAAATAGTTTTATTCAATTTGTCAAGTTTTAACACTTCACTTCAAATTGCCTCCAGAATATATATTTTTAGCTGTAGAAGAAACAATATCTAATGAATATGTAAATTTGATATTAGTTCCAAACTAGTTTTTAATTTCACTTATACTTTCTTTCTTTCTTTCTTTTCTTTATCTTTCTGTGCACACATACTATATGCATTGGGAAGTAGTTTAAATCTTGAATTTAAATGTACTTTGTATGTATGCATTCAATATGTAAAAATATCTATAAACCTTTTACTTAGTTTTAGCCTCTTCAACTTGAAAACACCAATAATTCTTATTGGGATTTCATGTTGTTGAATCTTCACAAGAGATGGTGCAGTACAGAAACATCCTTACTTTTCCTAATTCCATAAAAACATACAAGAAGGGATATGTCTCTTTGGTATCCGTCTTAGAGTGGTGTCTAACAGGCTTATTTCTAGTGTTTTGAATGTTATTTTCACTGGGTACTCCATTGTTGTGACCTTGTGTCAAGCTAATAAGTTTAGTCAGTAACAAAAAGAGATTAGTCTCTTAATATACCCAAATAACTGGAGACTAATTCAACAGGAAGCAAATTGAAAGTACATAATTGTACATTTATTATTTCAGATTCATGTCTTTACCAAAATAACATTAATAACTAATGAAAATAATTGATACAGTTGCATCACTTCCATGTTATCATTTTTTATCCATGATAGCATTTTCTTTCTCAGTTGTTTTAAATATAGTGAACCCTCTTTTTTTAATCATTTTAAATGCAGACTTATTGAACAGTTTTTATTGAACAGTTTTTATTGGTCATTTTCAAGTCATAAAGTCACACCCAAAAATTGTCCTAAATATATTTTCTACTTTAAAAACAACATTAAATTTTGATGTTAAAAAAAAAGAAAAACAAGGAATGTTTGTTCACCACAAAATGTACATTTTTTTAATAACATTTATCCCTTCTATCTTTGCTATCAGTTTTATAAAGACAAAATGGATTAATAAAATATAAAGTTCATGATTTTTAATATTGGTGACAAAATGCAATAAGACAAATATAGTTTACAATTAAATTTTCATAGAACATATAATAATACAAGTAAAACTAAAACCTTTAACAATTTTTCATTTGGATCTTTTATATTTATTGGCTGTTGATAATCAAATTCTATACAATATTTTTCATGCTTCATTGGAAATTCAACCCTTATCTTGTATACAGTTTTCATATTACATGTATGTAACTTTTTTCAAAAAACATTTCTTAGTATAAGTTGCTAATGATCAGTGTATAACATTAATGAAATAAAATAGGTTCATGAAATACAGAATTTAAAAAATTAAAATAAAAAATAAGTTTTAGGTTTTAAAAAAGTTGTAAATTTTGTTTATCTGAAGTTTTTATTTATATCTGACTTTCACTCTATACTTTATTGTTGCCTCTCTTTGCATCCTCTCTTCTCTCTCTCTCTCTCTCTCTCTCTCTCTCTCTCTCTCTCTCTCTCTCAACAGTTAAATTTGAAGTTCATGAGGAAGGGGGAGAGAATTCATGAATTGTGGTTTGCCTCCTGACTAAAATAATTACATATTTCCCTCTATTGCTCAACGACACTGCTTAAGGGAAGGTAAAAAAAAAAAAATACTGATTCTTGTTAGATAGCCCACCCCACCTGGAATATTGATGCAGCACAATTTTTCTTTACTTATTTAGCTTTGTGCTATACTAAGGTGAACTTAGTGAATATCAAGAATTGATGAAATACTGCCTCAGTTCAAGAAGGTTTTCAGCCATAATATCTGATATTACATCTTGTAAATCTAATAGATGAAGGTCATTATGATGAATCTGTTTGAAGCCTATGAAGATTACTTTATTTAAACCTCTGCAGTATCTTCACACATTTTAATTCTTCCATACTTATTTTAACCAAATTCTCTCTCTCTCTCTCTCTATCTATATATATATATATATATATATATATATATATATATATATATATATATATATATTATTGAAAGTTTTGCTAAAAAATGAGCCTACATGATAAATAGATACCCAGAACTTATCAAATGCATAAAGGAATTTTTATGTAAAAATTATTTTTTTAATCCTATTTAGAACCTTGTTTTTATGGTGTCAACATGAGACCACAAATTTGTATGTGAAATTTGAGTGGATTTTTTTATGGTGAAAAACAAATTGATTTGGAAATTGTTGCAAAAATCAAATAATTTTAATGATATTTTCAGGATTTTTTTAATCATAGCAGTAAAGCCACTAAGACACACAAGGTTTACTGCATATGAAAGAATGAGAAAAAATTTATTATTTATTCACAAATTAATGAAATTTTTAAAATGTTTCTTTTTTAGAGAATTTTGGTAAAAATATTTTTTTCATATATCTGTTACCCCCCCTCTCACACACACACACACACACACACACCACCAACAACAACAACATATTTAATTTTATGGAATTTCAAGAAATTCTTTGTAGCACTTTTTAGTTATAAGGACAAATCCTCAACAAATTTTAACTAATCAAATTTTGGGGCCAAACAGGACCCCAGTTACCAAAAATCTGCTCTGAATAGTAAAATAAAAAATGCAATAAAGCTAAGATATTATTTAATTAGAAAAGCTTTTAATTGTTTTATGAATGAAATATATAATATAGACACTATGAATAAAAATATTTTCTATGAAAAATGAATTTTTACAAAAATTTTTTTTTTTTTTTTAATTTTAATTAGAATAATTTATAAACTTAAATCTTTTAAAATTCTGTATTAAATGATAGTCATTAAAAAAATTAATTTACTAAACAGAAATAGAAAAGCTTACTAAAATTCAGCAATCCTCAGTATTTTAAAATGAATCTTGACTTTTTTGTCTGTATAAATTTCATAAATACAGGACTCTATCAGAAAATAACAGTACTGTAATAAATTTAAAATTTTCTAACATTTCTTCAACAAGTGTTTTTGTAATTATGACTATAAAGCCAATGTACCTAAAATTCAATAAAATATTTGAATGCTTAAAATATTTTTAATTTTTAAGATTACTGGGTAGTTAAAAAAAAATTATATAAAAAAGGCATTTACATTGTATTTGTCACATAATTTTCTTACAGTTATTTCCTATTTAAATTTCCCAAACTTAAGGTTGTTGATAAATGTGTCAACACCTCTGTTAAAAATGACATTCTGTGATATGTTAAGCTAAAAGTAAGTAATATTTGTTCAATTCAGGTTAATTAAACTTAAAATCAGCTACTTTTTTTCTCAAACAATGTTTCAGAAAAGTCTATTTTATTTTTTTATGATTTTTTAATAAAGAGAATTATGTTGTGTTGATGGTCGCTTTTATCAATTTTACTGATGATCAGAATAAAAAATTAATTCCAATGAATTTAAATTCAGTTTGAAATACCACAAAGTATTTTTGCTTATTGGAAATATTAAATTTAAATTATGGACTAAGAATTGAAACTAAAATAAAAGCTTCAAGAAAGATTTTTCTTTTTTAAAATGCATTTTAAACCTTAGGTATCTTTTTATATATATATATATATATATATATATATATATATATATATATATATATATATAATTATTGAGAGAGAGAGAAAGAAATCAGTTTAATTTGCATCTAGTCTTTCTTCATATCACTAACTATAATGCCAGATATGGTTGTTCAAATTATTGCTGCTGCCATTGTTGTTGTTACCACACTGTTTTGCACAACTCACTCTTTAGCCTTTCTCAAATTTACAATCCGTATGAAATTGGTTTTTCTTTTTCCTTCTGTCTACTGTTGGTACTTTCTGTAGTATTGATCTTCCATCTTTCTTATGGACTGTACAAAAGGAAGACTAAGGAATGAATCAGTTGAAATATGGTATCACCAAAAGTACTGAGACCTATTGTCCAAACAATTCTTAGAATAATTATGATTTATCTTAAAATTATAGAATATATCTTTGTAGATATGAGCAAACTCTAGAAAGCATTGTGGTAACAACTAAAGTAACAAAAAAGTGAATCTGAACAACTCTTGTAATGGAACTGACTTATCTCAAAATTAAAAACTTCCCAGTTATCTTAGTACAATATTGGAACTTTGTTTCTGAATAATTGTACTATTTAAAATAGTACAATTATTATTTAATAGCCAGCAGTTAGGAAAAGACAGTGACTATTTACTTATTCACCCCTCAACATTGTTAAAATGTAATCCATATATCCCACCTGATACAGCACAAGGCTCTAAAATGTCATTTCTTTTTATCCTATTACCTCAGATTTAACTGCAGACACCAGGGCATACTCCTGACAAATCTTCTGGGAATATGCAGTCTGGAGGTTGGATTTTCAGTCACCAGGTCAAAATTGTTTTTTGAATTGTTATGTAATGCAATAGCAACATATCAATATGAAACAGATGCATGATGTCGGTATTAGTTTAAGTAATTATAGAAAAGTAAAGGAAAATTAGAGGTTCAAATGGATTAATATCACAAAACAAATCAATATTCAGTATGTTCAATTTATAATGATACAATTGATAAAGTTATAGCATAAACTTGTCTCTACACTTTCTACCAGCTACAGATTAGGCTGTCTAGTCTTGGTTGGCAACCAGTCTAGGAGGAAGCCAACTCTGGATTCTAAACTGTTCTTGGGGAAATGCATCAATCCATCTCTTCTATAAATATAACAGGGTAGACTAGTCTTGGTTGGCAACCAGCCTATAAAAAGAGAAACCTCTCTACTATCCTTCTAAAGGACAACTGTGTCTGTAAACAGTTAAAAGATATTAAAGAAAAAGGAAACTAGAGTGTGCTGATTGCTTGAATTCTAAAGGAATATAGCATTTAAAATGAGAGAAAGGAACACTACAGAAATTTAGTTTATTTGAAATTAAAACATTAATCTTATCATTATCATTACTTTTAGTTATGCACTGTTTCATAGAACATGACTACAAAAGTGAAAACTTTTAACAAAATTTTTTAGTTTTTATTCTGAATATTTTATACTTATTTACTGTTAAATCAAATTTTACACCATATTTTTCATGTTCTTGAAAATTCAACCCTTTTCTTGTATACAATTTTCATATTACATTTAACAGTTTTTATAATATATTTTTGTTACAAATGATTGGTGCATAACAAGTGCTCTTTCTCTATGAGAAGCCAACATAATGTACAGAGTGGTCTGAAAGTTTTGTCACCCCTACTTATTATATTATGTAGGTGTGACCAGACTTTCGGACCACCCTGGACATTGGTTTATTTTCTAAATATTCAGTAGTTAAGGGAGATAACTCATCCTCTATTTAGAACTCTCTAAACACTATTTTATGAATGTCAATTAATCATAATTAATATTTTATACACTATAATTTTTGTGTATTCAATTATAATTTTTTATATAGGAATTTATATTTATCCCAGAAAATTTAGTCTTGAATATCTTATCATCTCAGGTGTGTAAAAACAAGCCCTAATATTATTGTTGTCTAACTCTTAGTGTATATAATACACTTTAAGAGTGATAGTTTTTTTTTTTTTCAGAAATTCAGATAAAAAGAAAATGATTATTAGAAATAAGCAGAAACAATATTCATCATTATATTTGTAAACATAAGATATTCATTTTATTTAGATGTCAGTATAATAAAAATCATAAGTAACTTTTAGTAATTTCTAAGACCTCCTGTCTGTGAGATCTAATAAAAAAAATTGGTTGAGATTACCCTTAAAATGTATTTATCTTTGGAATCCACTCCCATTATCACATAAAAATTATAAATAAAAGAATAATGAAAACACAAAAACTTATTTTCACAATAATAAATTACTAAAAATCTAATAAGCATTTTAAGTTGAAAATATTATTTATTTTTATTAATTTAAAGACAATTTGATGCACATAGGCCCTTACTTTCCATACAAATAATTATTTTTATTTCATGGGTGACTTTCACTGAATTTCTCAGTTAATCTAGATTATTCCCAAATTTATAAGGTTATAAAAATTGTTATGTACAAAAAAATTACTTGCAAAATATCATGTAAAAAAAATTGCCAAAATCAATTGCAGTAATGAAAACTTGTGAATCCAAAATTTCAGGATTGTAGGTTCGGGTCTGGCTCTGAATGTTTTTAATTTGCTCACACAGTCACCCTGATTCCAAAATGGTATGACATGCTGGTCTAAAGCCTCTAGGAGTAAAGTTGAAAAAGTGAGACATACTGAGAGTCACATTTATTATATAGATATCTGAATAATTTTATTTCAGTCTTTAACTTTAATGTTTAAACTAACCTAAAGTCAATATCTGAATTTTGTTAGATGAGATGTTTTAATCATTGCAAATGATTAAAAATTCATTTAATTTTCTTTTTTGATAAACAATATTTCTGCCGTGTACTTTCAGACCTTTGTCAGGTACATGTTGGCAAATCATTCTGAGGGAACATTCACATCCCTTCTCATATACATCGTTCAGTTTTTACACCTCTGACTTTTGGGACTACTTTCTT